CAAGTATGCTTAAAGTCACAGAGTTTGGCTTTTCTGTCACTTTCAACCAGACTTGTCCTAATACACACCTTACCACATGTCAGGCCAGGGTACTCCTCTGCTGTTCCACCTCACAAGGAATTAGCTCACAGGAAATTTGATTTAGCCTGGCTGTCTTCATTCTCCCTCCTACAGTCAGCCAGCCTTGCCTGGCATATACTATCCTGGACTCTATCTCCAGTACTGTAATAAGTGAGAAGATATTCTGTGCAGTCATGATTCAATAATTCACCTCAAGATTAGAATAAAATGGAATTCTAAAGAAATAATCAGGGGGGCTGGGAAGGTGGCTCAGTGGTAGAGCGCTTGCCTTGTATGCCTGAGGCCCTGGGTTCGATTCCTCAGCACCACATAAACAAAAAGAAAAAAAAAAGCCAGAAGTGGCTCTGTGGCTCAAGAGGTAGAGTGCTAGCCTTGAGCTGAAGAGCTGAGGGACAGCGCCCAGGCCCAGAGTTCAGATCCCACCACCAGACCCCCCCCCCAAAAAAAAAAGAAATAATCAGGGCTAGGAAGGTGGCTCAGTGGTAGAGTGCTTGCCTTGTTTGCATGAGGTCCTGGGTTCGATTCTTTAGCACCACGTAAGCAGAAAAAGCCGGAAGTGGCGCAGTGCCCAGGCCCAGAGTTCAGGCCCACAACTGACAAAAAAACAAAACAAAACAAAAAAACAAACAAAAAAAACAAGAAATAATCAAAGACTAGGTCACAGATTTAAAGTTCAGTGAGGATTATGAATAACAGATGATGCCAACCATAGTGGCTCATGTCTGTAATCTCAGCCCTCAGGAGGCTAAGGCAGTGGATCATGAATCTGAGCCAGCAGCTTGGACTACATAAGACCTTGTCTTAGAAAAATAAAAATTCAGTAAGTAGCAACCCATTACTGGTACATAAGAAAAAAAGGAAGAAAATTAAGGAAACAAAGAAGCCTGAAGTTGGTGTCTTACATCTGTAATCCCAGTTACCCAGGAGGCTGAAATCTGAGGATGGAGGTTCAAAGCCAGCCCAGGCAGGAAAGTCTATGTGACTCATCTCCAATTAACTACTGAAAAACTGGAAGTAGAGTTGTGGCTCAAGTGGTAAAACACTAAAAAAGGCTAAGAGATAGGGCTCAGGCCTGGAGTTAAAGCCCCTGTACTGGCAAAAAGAAGGTCAAAGGAAATCCATATGCTAAATCACAGGAGTTGAATTAAAATAAATTTTAGAATGATAGAGGTATATAAACTTTATTTGGTAGTAGAAAGTTTAACATCTTGTTTTGTGGTGCTAGGAATGGAACCCATGACCTCCTGTGTGCCAGGCTAGTGCTCTGCCATGGAGCCACAGTCCTGGCCCTTCTTTGTTCTCTGGCCAGTCCTGGGGCTTGAACTCAGGGCCTAGGCACTGCCCCTGGGCTTTTGTGCTTAAGGATAGTACTTTATCACTTCAGTCACAACTCTACTTTTGGCTTTTTGTGATTAATCGGAGATAAGAGTCTCATGGGATTTCCTGTCTGGGATGATAGCTAGGTTTACAGGTGTTAAGACACCTATTTTTCCCCTTCCTTTTCAGGGCCTGGGCACTGTCCCTGAGGTAGCAGTCTACCACTTGTGCCACAGCACCACTTCCAAGCCTTTTCTGTTTATGTGGTAATGAGGAATCGAACCCAGGGTTTCATGCATGCTAGACAAGCATGCTACTACTAAGCCACATTCCCAGCCCAACTCCAGCCCTTCTTTAAAATCATCTCTAGATTCATTGCAACAGCTATTATGTAAATAGTTGTGCAGATGCAATCACAACTATTTGGTTGAATCCACACTGTGGAACCAATTATAGTTACATCTCTACACAGTAAAAAGCGTGAAAAAAAATACACTGCAGTGGTAAAAGGTTGTCTCCATGTGGATTACGGGTAATTGTTGGTACTTTTCTGTCTCTCCCATTTCTTTTTTTTTTTTTTTATCAGTCATGGGGCCTGAACTCTGGGCCTGGGCGCTGTCCCTCAGCTCTTCAGCTCAAAGCTAGCGCTCTACTACTTGAGCCACAGTGCCAATTCTGGCTTTTTCTGCTTATGTAGTGCTGAGGAATCGAACCCAGAGCCTCATGCATGCAAGGCAAGCGCTCTACCACTGAGCCACCTTCCCAGCCCCCAGCTCCCATTTCTTACAATGAGGATGTAGCAGCCCACCACTGAGCATATCCCCAGCCCCCAAAGATTTTTTTCTTTTTTTCTGGCCAGTCCTGGGGCTAGAACTCAGGGCTTGGCCACTGTCCCTGAGTTTTTTTTTGCTCAAGGCTAGTGCTCTACCACTTGAGCCACAGTGCCACTTCTGGCTTTTTCTGTTTATGTGGTACTGAGGACCTGAACCCAGGGCTTCAAGTGTTAGGCAAGCACTCTACCACTAAGCCACATTTCCAGCCCACAAAGGTTTTCTTCTGGATTATTTTCCCAGTCAGAGTGGTGGTACACTTCTGTAATTCCAGCGGCAGGAGATAAAGGCAGGAGGATTCATCAGATTTCAAGGCCAGCCTGGGATATATTGAGACCGTCTCAAAAGAAAAGCATGAGATGAAGGAGTAGAGACAAGCCCTCAGGGACCATGGCTGTGCCCCAGGCATGCAGTTCCTCTTCCCAACAGCCCCGTTACCCCACGGCCCACACACTGTGGGCCACAGGACGTTCCCCCTTGCACCTCCTTGATCAGGCCCGGGCTCTCTCTAGCACCCCGCACCCCACAGTGCAAGCACCTCAGACACAGGGCAGGACTGCTGTGGTGGCAGCAAAGCAAAGTCAGGACACCTTTCTTTTGGTAGGCATTAGTTTTACTGGTTTAAAAACAAGTCTGTACAAAATGGCAGCGGTGGGCAGAGCTGTCCTGGGGCTCGGGGCTCCTCCGTCACTATCTCTTTGGCCAGTTGTACCGGAAGCCTCTGCAGAGACAGTGGGGAGTCAGTCACCTCTGCAGGCTGCTGTACAGAGCTCAGTAAAGCAGAACAGAGGAGTTTGCTCAAGGCTCTGGGAGGGCTGAGCAGATTGAGTCTGAAGGCAGTGATCCCCTAAACCATGCCATGCCCCCGCCCCCCGCTTCACACTGTTCTAGCATGAGGATTTCATACTGTTCATGAACATTCATTCTTCAACAATGGCGACCACGCATGCCTACTGGTTTTTCTCACAATCCCAAAGCTGCACTCAGCTGCAGTCTACCAGGGTGCAGAGCAGGGCGGGCTTTCCCATGGGGTGCCCTGGCTACCACCACATACCTGTCTGATTTTCCAGTTGGAAAGGACATGCTTTTGTTTCCCATTGATTGCTTAACTTTCTTAGCTGCAATACATTTCTGAAAAGCAAGCAGAACCATTTAAACTGGATGACACTGTCTGGACACATGGAAAAGCAGCGCTGAGTTCCCGCAGCCAGGCATCTGGGCACGTGGAAAGGCAAGGGTGCGATGAGGACCAGAGGCCCCATCAGCCCTGACTGGCCAGGTGCCAGGGGGAAGACCCAGGCCATGTCAGCGCTAAGAGAACTGCTTTCAGCCTCTGGCCAGAATTCCCAAGCAGCAAACAGAAAAGTGGCCTTTAAGACGGCTTTCCTGGACTGCTGGGTGGCCAATGCGCTGTCTACACCTGGAGGAAGTGAGTGAGAGGAAAGAGTCACAAAGGAGAAGGATTCCTAGACTCAGCTTCTCAGCCAAGGAAGGGATCAAAAGCAACCTAGGTGGAGAAGTGGATCAAGTGGTAGATGCCAAGGACCTGAGTTCAACCTTTTCTTTTTCCTGCCAAGAAATGAACAAAAGAACCTTCCAAGCCCAGCTAGATGCTGCAGACCTTCCTTACCTTGCCAGACCCCGCGGGCTTGTTTGGGTCAAACTGGGAGGAAGGCTTGCATTTGCTGTCTCCTGCAGGAAGAGCCAAGAGGCGGTGATCAATCACTGAGCTGACAAATCTCCCTGGGTGCCAGGCCAGGGGGCTGTCCAGGGGGCAGGCTCTGAGCACAGTTGTGCCCTGGTCATCAGGAGCAGGGGTGTACTTGTGCAACAAGCAGTGGGATGCTGGCAACACGTGATGGGCTCGTACAGAGCTCCAGTGGCATGGCCCCACCTTGCTTCCCAAGCCTCCTAGGCTGCCTGGGTCCAGAAGCGTCTGCAGTCAGGGGCACCATGTACAGCCCCTGCAGCACCCACGCCATTCTCCCTTCTGTGTGGGGGGCAGGGGCACCCTGCTAAGCCAGAGCTAGTTCTGGGGCACTGTGGGCTTCTGTTCCTGCCTCTGACTGGCACAGTGTCTGCGAGTGAGCCTGCAGCAGCTGGCACAGCCAGGCTCTCAGCCTAGGGGCCAGGCCTCACCAGCAAAAGCCTTGAAGTCCGACTGGCTGTAGTCGTAGGGAGTGAAGGTGCTGGGTGCTGGGTCTGGGCCCTTGAGCTTCTTGGCCGTTTTGAGTCGTTTCTTCTCCTGTCTCTGCTCTGTGGTCCTGGTGTCACCTGTGGTTCTCTCCCTCTTCTTAGCGTTTTCCAGCTGCAGGGGGAAGACATGCAAGGAGGGAGACAGGGACACCACGTGAGTGAAGTGGGGAGACCACACCTCCAGATAAACAACTCATCCACAGCAGGGAGGCGATGATTTCATGATTTCAGCTCCTTCTGTATTTTAGGGGCTTTGTATATACATGAGGTATCTTAGGAATGGACCCCATTCTAAATCACAAATCACTTATGCTTCAGCCACGTCTAGGCCACAAAGCCTAAGCTATGTCTATTCAGCATTTTTTCTTATTCATCAGTCCTGGGACTTGAATTCTGGCCTGGGTGCAGTTCCTGAGCCTCTCTGTGTTTAAGGCGATCACACTACCATTTGAGCTACAGTGCCACTTCTGGCCTTTTCTGTTTATGTGGTGCTGAGGAATTGAACCCAGGGCTTCATGCATGCTAGGCAAGCACTCTACCACTAAGCCACATTCCCAGTCCTATACAGTATTTTTTACAGTATTTTTAAAAATAATTTTGTGCATGAAATAAGGTTTCAAAGTGTGGAGTTTTCTACTTGTGTCAGTGCTCACAAAGTGATGGGATGTTGGAGCACTTAAGCTTTTGGCTAACAAGACACTAAATGGAGGTCCAACCTTGACTGCCTGGGGCCTAGCTGCTTCAGATGCAGGGAGATGAGCCGGCTGCCAGTGGCTGCCAGCTGCAATTCTAGCTACTGGGAAGGCTGAGATCTGGAGGATTGCAATTCAAAGCCAACCTGGACAGAAAAATGTTTTAACTTTCTAAGAAGAACCAGCAAGCCCAGCACCTGTGGCTCCTGTCTGTAACCCTAGGTACTCAGGAGGCTGAAATATGAGACACTTGGTTTGAAGATAGCCTAAGAAGACAACTCATCAAGATTATTATGTGATTAAGCAGCAAAAGCTGCAACTAGAGCTATGAATCAGGTGCTAGAGAGCCAGCTACGTGCTAAAAAGCAGAGTAAGAGTGTCAGGTCCTGAGTTCAAGCCCTGGTACTGGAAAAAAACAACCAAAAAAACCCCAGCAGCATAAAGCTAGACAAGATGTGGCTCAAGTGGTAGAACACCAACCTAGCAAATAAGCCAAAAAAGCATGGCCCTAAGTTTAAAAGCAGTATTGGCAAAAAAGAAAAAAAACATTTTGAAGGTGGAGAAGGGGCGGAGCCATGGCCTGTGCCAGCTGGAGCAGGTTTTTCTTTTTTTGTACTGGGCTTGAACTCAGGGCCTCCTGCTCGTGCTCAGTTTTCTTGCTCATGGCTGGCACTCTGCCACTTGAGCCGTACCTGGAGCAGATATTTTTCTTTTTCCCTTTTTTTTTTTTGGCTGGTGCTAGGGCTTGAACTCTGGGCCTGGGCACTGTCCCTGAGGTTCTTTTGCTCAAGGATAGCATGCTACCATGTTAGCCACAGTGCCATTCCTGGCTTTTTCTGAGTGGTTTATTGGAGAGGAGTTTCATGGACTTCCCTGCCCAGGCTGGATTCAAACCACAATCCTCAAATCTCAGCCTCCAGAGTCGCTAGGATTCCAGGTGTGAGCCACTGGCACCGGGCTCTGAAGCAGGTTTCTAACTGGACAATGGACAACTTAAGAGGGGCAGGGGTTAAGGAGAGAATTCCAGAGGCTGAGGGCAACAAGAACCAAGTGTTGCTTCAATGCCTGTTCCTGTTGTGTGGCAGTCAAGTGTTGGTGGGTTCACCACACACAGAAAAGACGTCCTCTGGGGGAACTGCCAGGGGAAATGAGGCGAGCACTGAGGGACAAGCCAGGGCAAACTGGAGCAAGGCCAAGGACAATGTCAGGGACAGGGCAGACCCTCCTGAGCCAGCCAAGGGGACTCTCGGCCAGGACCCAGAATCCATACATACCACAGTCTGCTGTCGCACAGAGATGGCCTGCTCTGCTGTGGCTTTGTACTCTTCTTTCACCTGTTCCTGGGCCACTGCAAGACACAGGGAGTGTGGAGTTGCTGCTCAATCCCCAGCCTGCCTGCACTCAGCCCTGGCACCCCATATTGACATGTATGCTTCAGGGGCTCTGTCCTGCCTGTCCTCAATCTGGGAGCCACACCAGGTCCCGCTCAGCCTCCCTGCCACCACTCTGAGGATGGCGGGCAGGTGTCCCAGCCCTGTGTCAGGGACCAGGACCCAAGTCCCCTCCCCACCCAACCAGCTCCCAGACCAACTCCCTGGGATGCGGATACCCCATCCTCCTGCTGCTCAGGACAGGCCGTGTGCAGCCAGCTCTATGCTGCCCTCCAGTGTGTTCCCCTGGGCTCTGGTCCTATCTCCAGACCAGACTCTCGCCCTTGTAATTCATCAGTTCTCTACACAACAGTCAGAGAGATGGCCTGGAGGTAACGAGTTCAGGTCCCCAACTCAGTAAAGGCAGTCCTCACACAGGCCTGGCCTGCTCTTTTCCCCACCCCCTTTCCATTCAGTCCCCTAGGCCACCTTGCCACATCTTGGGACCCCACCTAGGGCCTTGAGCCTCAGCCACCAGTGCAGATGTCTTCATGTAGCTGGCTGTGTCTCTGTCCAATGTCATTTGTAAGACCGTCACTCCCACCCATGCCAGTCTTCACCAGAGCGCACTTAAGCACGCCCCACCCCTCTTTCCATGCACTACTGCCTGCTTCTGGGCTCTCCCTGCCATTCCCCAGAAGGCAAGCTCCCCAGGGCTAGGGTGGGCTGTGCTGCGTACTGCTGTGTCTGGCACTGCTGAATGGCTCAATCAACAACGTGTGCCAGGCCGCCCTTCTGCACACACGCAAGAATGGCACATTACCTGTCTGCTCAGCTGCCTTCTTCTTGGCAGTGTCTTTATATTCTTTTCGGACCTGGGCCTGCTTGGCCAGCTTCCAACGGTTGCTGATCTAAAATTAGAAAGCACAGGAGCATGTCCTCCATAGCTGCTGGGCATGGTGGTGGTGGTGGGAAACAACTTACACACTTACACACACACACACCACGCGCACATGCATACACACGCAAGCCCTCAGTTCTAGCTTCTGGCTGGTTTGGTTTCTAAGTGCTTGTAGAGAAGGATACAGTACCAAGGTGCCCAGGCCATGGGTGAAGGCTTCCACATGTAGTATCTCATCCAACCCCCTCTGGACCCTGAGACAAAGGTGTCACCATCAGCCCGAGCTGGTGACTCATGCCTGTAATCCTTAGCTACTCAAGAGGCTGAGATCTGAGGATCTCAATTCAAAGCCAGCCCGGGAAGGAAAGTCCGTGAGACTCTTATCTCCAATTAACCACCAGAAAACTGGAAGTGGTACTGTGGCTCAAGTGGTAGAGTGCTCGCCTTAAGATGAAGGCCCAGAATTCAAGCCCAGGACTGACAAAAAAAGGGGGGGGGGCCAGGAAGGTGGCTCAGTGGTAGAGCGCTTGCCTTGCATGCATGCATGAGGCCCTGGATTCGATTCCTAGCACCACATAAGCAGAAAAAGCCGGAGGTGGTGCTGTGGCTCAAGTGCTAGAGCGCTAGCCTTGAGCTGAAGAGCTGAGAGACAGAGCCCAGGCCCAGAGTTCAGGCCCCATGACTGAAGGAAAAAAAAACAAAAAGGTATCA